TAACTAAGAACAATAATCCATATTCCATAGTCCTCCCCTTTAATTTCCTATATATATAAATAAATGTCTCATTACTTTATATTATACTATTAATATAAATCAAAATAGTTTATTACTAGTACACTTATCTTTCTACTTACTACTAGTCAAAAAATGCCTACTGCTACTATTTTCCTACTAGTATTATTTATTGGAAAATTGATAAGTTGTAGTGAGGGTGCACCTCGTGCTTTCTTTGTGTTTGGTGACTCTCTTGTTGATAATGGCAACAATAATTATTTACTAACTTCAGCAAGGGCAGATTCTCCACCTTATGGAATTGATTATCCAACTCATCGTCCTACTGGTCGTTTCTCTAATGGCTTCAATATACCTGATCTTATAAGTAACATTCTCAACTCACTTTTTTTCTTTTTTTTATACGAAATGCGGATTTAGAGCCTGTATGGCTCAGCTTAAAAGCTGGTCAAACTGACTTAAAAGCTAGTTTTTGACTTATTTAACTGTTTAAGCCAAAAGTTAAAAGCTGGGGTAGGGGTACTTTTTTTTTTTAGCTTATAAGCTGTTTTAAGTTGACCATATTTTTATGTTTTTTCCCTTAATACTTTTATACAATTTCCAAATGAACCATATAACCCTAACATCTCTTTCTTCTATTTTTCCCTTTTCACGTTTGGCATAACAATTTCAGCACTTTTTTCCAAACGCATAACTGCTTATTTTAAAAATAAGTTTCAGCACTTTCAAAAGTATTTTTTTAAAGCTGCTTTTATTAAGCCCATCCAAACGGGCCCTTAGAGTTCGATTTATTATTGAGTTCGCTTTTATCTTGATTCATAAGTGTAGGTATTATTCGCACTGTCTAGCCTTTTGGGTCATATTTTAAATGATGTCGACATTGACTACCATAGTTAACTAGTTAAGTTTGTCTTTAGAAGTAGCTGGATGAATTATCATTTTTTGGGAAATAAATTTATATTCTGTGTATACAAATTTTAAAAATTTGTTCAACTTGAAATGGAGTTTTTTTTTTTTTTTTTAAAAAGTAATATTTTTGGCAAGTGACAGTTTGTTTTGGCTAATCAATTTGAAAAGCACTTTTATAAATATTAAAGCAATAATTTGTGATTGACCAAGGTTCATTAAAAGAATAGATTTTACTATTAATAGAATACTTATTCCACCCCAACCTAAAATGTTTGGCCAAACTCTTCAAACTTGGTCACATAGGCTATGAATTAAATAGTGGACTAGAAAGGCCAATTGTGCAAATGGGGATCTAATTTAAAGAGCCCAGCTACTTCTAAATGCAAAATTTAGCCCACTTGACTTAGAGGGATGTGATTTAAATAGTAGCCTAAAAACGTCCAATTGTGCAAATGTCCCAAAAGTGAATCTTATTTAATTTCTTGTTATTAATTAATGATAATATGTATGGACAGGCCAAGAGCTTGGTGCTGAGGCTACATTGCCTTATTTGAACCCTGAGCTTAATGGAGATAAATTGCTCGTTGGAGCAAATTTTGCTTCTGCTGGAATTGGAATTCTTAACGATACTGGAATTCAGTTTGTAAGTACAATTATTCTATTTATATTTTGAGTTGAATATTTTAAATTCACGCTCAATAAGAGAAATAAAGATTTTTCTATATGAATCTCAGACCTCTAGTTAAAGAATTAAGGAGCAGCCTCATCCACTGCACCACATCCATTGATAATATTTTAAGTGCTTTTAGTTCATTAACTTTTTTTTTGTTGTTGTAGGCAAACATAATAAGAATATCGACACAATTACAAAACTTTGAACAGTACCAAGCACGAGTGAGTGCTCTTATAGGAGAAGAACAAACAGAGCGGCTAGTAAATGGAGCACTTGTTCTTATTACTTTGGGAGGCAATGACTATGTCAACAATTATTTTTTCACGCCAATTTCTGCGAGACGACTTCAGTACAATCTTCAAGATTTCTCTGTTTATATCATCTCTGAGTATCGAAAGATCTTAATGGTAATTGATCAATATAAATGATTTTTCATTTAACTACGTGACGTTATTTTTGTCAGTAACAAAGAGAATGACACATGTTTATTAATTTGTATAGTAGAATTGAGTCTGTTGATTGTGTTTTTAGTTGTGATAAGACTTGCAATAAAAAGTTTCGCTTTTGCCTGTGCCTATTTTGTGGCAAAATCAATTTGTTTTTTTAGTAATCCAGGTTGTGCACCTAAGTTTACATAGATTAAATTTTGATTAGCTCTAACACAACTTTAGAGCTATGAACGGATTAGATCATGACCTGCTTTGTAGCGAGATTTACGATCTAATTCGCTTTATTTACCACCTCTATCATCTACAATATCAAACTTTTTAAGTATAATCTTTGATAATTGTAATGTAACAACAACAAAAACATCAAATTGTTTGCAGAGACTATATGATTTGGGAGCTCGAAGAGTTTTAGTGACAGGATCAGGTCCATTAGGTTGTGTCCCATCTAGTCTAGCCTCAAGGAGTGTCAATGGAGAATGTGCTGAGGAGCCTCAAAAAGCCTCTGCAATTTTCAACCCTCTCCTTGTCCAAATGATTCAAGGACTCAATCAAGAACTTGGCTCTGATATATTTGTTGCTGCAAATGCTATGGAGATGCAGAATGACTTCATCAAAGATCCCCAAGCTTTTGGTATATCACTTTTTTAATTTATGTTCGATATTTTATTTTGCGGTTTGATTAATTTAAATTCGCTCGGTTTAATATTGTCTACTAAAAGCGACTCATTTTTATGGGGCGTGAATTTGAAATTTATGTTTTAATGATGGAAGAGTAGTTATCAATAGATTACACACTATAACATGTTAAATTTGTAATTTTTTTTTTTTACCATGTACATAGTTTTAATTCTGATTAACATATAGACATGTTTGTGTAAAACAATTTTATATAATATGTTTTAGTAAATTTCTAGGTTTATTTTTTAAGTTATCAGTTTTACGTGCTATAGACGACTACATAAAGTTATGTTTTGTAGATCTATTAGTCTCTTTTTACGATATCAATAAGAAGTTAATTAACTCATGTTATAGACAATCACCTAAAATTATTTTTATATAATCTAATGGTTTTAAAAAGTAACTTACGACGATTAACGTTAAGTTACAAATTATTGTTTAATGATATTGATACATAGAAAGTAATTTACTGTTTTTAACTTTTAAACAATGAACAGGTTTTGTAACGTCAAAAATAGCATGTTGTGGACAAGGACCCTATAATGGAATAGGCATTTGCACATCTTCTTCAAATCTATGCCCCAACAGAGATTTATATGCATTTTGGGATCCTTTTCATCCTTCTGAACGTGCCAACAAAATTATTGTTCAAACACTTTTTACTGGTTCTGATAAGTACATGACACCAATGAACTTGAGCACCATTATGGCTATTGACTCTCTCTAAATCCAATTATCAAATTATATACTTAATAGGTATCTTCTTGAAATTTTATGTTTTAAAGTTGCTAGCTAACTCAATGCAACTTTATTATATGTATTATTGTAATTTTGTACTATATGTTATTTATAAATTTATGATGAATTGTTTTAAAGTTGCTACCCAAGTCAATGCAACTTTATTATAGTTATAGTTGGTAATTTTTCTATATATTTACATATATGATGAATGAAATGGGAAATGAAATGTTTTTTTTTCTAATTTATAATCATTTAGTTGTTAATGTATACAAGTTTAAGGTTTTCTTTTGTATATTTTTTTTTATTCACAAACTTGAAAAGCACACATGAAAGAAGCATTTGTTATTTGAGTCATCCTATATTAAAAATAATAATATCTCACATAACAAAAAGTTAAAATAAGAACAATTTCGTTGCAACATCAACAATAATTTGAAGTGAACCAAATCATATTTGACATCAACAATACTTTGAAGTGAACCGATGCATAATTGACAAACTTTTTAAATTACTTCTACATATATTTCTGATACTCCTACATGATTTTCTTTTGTCAATTACACCAACATACTTTTATATCTACATTTGCTTGTGGTGTGATCAAAACTTGAAGTAATCACATTTCTAATAAAATTAACAATAATGTAAAAAATAAAAGTTTTTTCTTTAATTACTGTGTAAATAGTCTTTTACTTGTAGAATTCTTATTTCATGAGACTAAAAAAGGAAGAAAATTGTCACGACTTTTGCACGATATTAAATCACGTTATTTTAACAAATTAGAAATTATATATGAGATTAATAAGTTAAAAATTTTATAGTAGGAGGAGTTGATGTTTTAGAGAGTTTTTGGTAGAGTATGTCTATTTTTGTTTCGATAGTATGTTTATTTTGAATCTATAAATATAATAATCTTAAATATTTTCAGTCGTTTGTTAAAGTGGAACATTTTTTATCTAACAAGCAGAATGAACTTAAAAATTGATAGTGATCATTGAAAAACATAAAACAATAAATCAAAAGAAAAAAAGTCTATCGATTTTTGAACCAATTGAAAAGTCAATCACTTTGAGCCCAACTCAAATAAAACTGATCGCGCTCAATTTCCTCCCGCCAAATGTTTGAAAAGATAAAAAACCGTTTAAGTTGAGTCATTTAAATACTATTCAATTTCTTTTTATGCCAACCAATTAGGTTCGATCGATTTTTCAGTCAAACTTTTAAAAATATATTGATCGAGCTCAATTAACTAACTGACATTCTTTAAATTATATGATAACAAATCAATGAGTCGATTGAGTTTTTGATTGATTTGAAAGTAACTTAATTTTTTAAAATTAATTTTATTGTGCTTTCTAAATAATTATCACTAAATTTTTTAATTTATTCAACTAGTTGAACTAAAGATGCTCTATTTAATTTTTTTGATGAATTCACATATTCAACAATACATTATTACATATTTAAAGAAATAAAATAATAAACCTATGAGTTTAAATAAGAAATAATTTTATTTTAGCTAAAAACTCATTTTTTACGAGTGAATATTTAGACGGTGAACTGTCAAGCAAACCTAGAAGAGAAGACGCCCCAAGTCATAACCTTTTTTCCGTTTTGGTGTTAAAATTCTGCTATAATTTTTTTAAAAGTTAGTTATTTTATTTTTTTCGCATTTTGTATATGAATTTTCGGAACCCCATTTGTAAAAAAATGGAGTAGTATGTATCTTAGGGTTGTGAGAAAATGGGGGAAATTAAAGTTCCATCATTAGTTGACTTGTGCATTTACTCAATTAGAGATGAACTCATTCAAGGTAATTGTTTGTGTTGTTTATGGGAATCATAATTTTTGTTATTATATATTTTGCTATTGCTTAACATTTTTTGTTTTGGTTTTTATTTTCAGTTGATGATCTTAATCTTTCATCAGTATTGTATCGCCTTCCTACGGAGTTGTTCGATCAGTTGCTGTTGCAGTTACCTCCGTTGGCATTGCAGAAATTACAACAAGGGTTTTTATCTCAGCACTCTATTATAGATTATATATGTTTCTTTAAACAATTTTTGTTAATCGTGGTGTCTGTGTCCGCTTGTGTACACCCTGATTGATTCTATCAGGTACCTGCTGCCTCTCGCCAGCTCAGGTACCGGTAATATCCACCAAGGCTTGGATGGTGGAAAGAATTCACTTAGTATTTCTTGCCTCTTACGTGAGATTTGAACTTGAGACATCATAGTTTTCAACGGATTTCATTAAACTATAGGAATTTTGAGAATCCCTATATTTGGAGAACCCTTTTGAGTATTGGATTGCAAGATAGGTTGTTAGATCAACTATGCTATATATTATATGTGTTTTTACCAAACATATTTTTATCCTAAAATATTTTTTTGCTGTGGGTGGTGGATTAGTGGTGGTTAAATTAAATCGACCCTCATTCTTTATCACTGCAACAACAGCGTGAGCTTACACTAGAAGCCAAATTCACATAGCCGGAGTTATTAAAAGATCCCTATATTTATTTTTCTAATAACCGCGGTGTCTGTGCGACTTTGCTTTGCATCTCAACTAATTCCACGAGGTATAGGTACCAGTAAAAATTTTTCCACCAAGGCTTGGGTAGATGAGAAGATACCGCATCGTGTTTTTTTGCTTCCGTTGAGATTTGAACCTGAGGCATCACAGTTTTGAACCCACTTCATTTAACTATTGGAACTTTGAGACTCCTATATTCGGAGAACCCCTGTGTGTTTTTAATGAGAAGTAATTGAGTTTTGGATTGGAAGTGGCTCCATTGGAGCTGAATGGATATTGAAATTCATACTGCTGACTGACTAGTTTGGGATTGACCACATTGTAGAGCCTTATTTAAAATAGCTGTGACTTAATTATCCACATTGTACGTTCAAAAGCATGAATATAATTACTTATCTCCATTTTGATATGCTTTTTATTGAGTTGAGGGTCTTTGTAACCTCTCCACCTCCCAAGGTTGGTTAAGGTCTGCACATACTCTACCCTCCCCAAGCCCTACCCATGGGATTACACTGAGTATGTTGTTGTTACTCTCAGAGAATACTTCTGCTCTCAAAAATCTATTCTCTCTTTTAATCTACTGAAAGCTCTTTTGTAATTACTTCTAAACCAAAAGGCCATGAATAAAAGACGTATAGTTTGAAACTTTTGGTGCATCTGACAGTTTGAGGAATTGGTTTTGAATTAAGTGTGATGAAGCTAGTTAACTGTGAATTGATCAACATTTTAGGTAGATCATATGTATAACTGATATAGGTGGTTGATATTATTTAGGTTTTTTTATATGAACCTTTATGTAGTGGGAGGGGTGCATTATAGTGCCTGAACTTTAACCAGAAAATCTTGTGTTGCAGGAAATCTGTTATCTTGGATGATCATGAGCTTTTGACTGACGGTGTTGATAATCAGAGAAAGCGTAAAAGGTCTGCATCTGTAGAAATATAGGAATTAAGTGAGTTTTTTTCAGCTTCCTGGTCATAAAGAAAGAGTATGTTACATCATGGGTAATATTTGTAGAGGTTGCCTGGATATACATGATCTGCAAATGATTCTATTGTGAATGGAGCTTGAAATATATTTCTGCAGATATCTGAATTTTGAGGAAGAGTGGAAAAATCTGTATGAAGCTCGGTGGCCTGCTTTTGGTTGGAGGAGTAAGAATTTCAGGAGTCAGTCATCTGCCAGATCAGCAAACCAAAAAGAAGTAGAGTGTGAATCCGCAAATGACTGGCAACAGATGTATTGGGAAGCACATTTGCAGAAGTATGAACATCAAATGATCTACTTATTGGTGGTTACCAGTTACCACTATTTTAAATGGCTTCAGTTCACCTGTCATTTTAAAATTCTACATTTTTTGAGGAACAGTTGCCTGGATACAGCAGCAGAGTTGACTTTATTCCCATCTTTTCATGGTCGGATTAGTGAAATAGAAGTTCCAGGTAAGAGATTCATGTTGATTGATGTCTCTTATCATCCATCACACTACTTTCTGGCAATCATTTTTTGGCAGCCATGCCCAGATTCTTCTTCATGCATCCTCTTTTAGATGCTGTCTTGGGTTGAAATCTAATTTTTATATTGAACATTCAAATCCTCTGATGGGGTAACTTTTCTTTCTTCCTTTTCTTCTTGTCTATTTGGGTAAGGATTAAGGAATATTTTATACACACATTACGTGAAAGCTATATTTTGGACAAAGGGTTTAAATTGGATTTTGAAGAAGTTTGCATCTTTTCATATGCCTTTGTTTTGTCTATATTTTTGTATCACAAGTAGTATTTGTATGCAGAAGTCTTTCCCTGTTCTGGAAAAAATGTAACTCAAGAAAGTTCCACAAAAATGCCCTAAACTAGCCATAGAAGATTTAGTTGATACAAGCTTCTTTTGTTTGTGCAGAATCAATCTTAAACTATATTGATCATAGGGGAGGCATCAGTAGATTCACCTGTGACTATTCCAAGTTCGCTTATCATTGCCAACAATTTGGATCGTATGCCAGGTGTATTTTTACAAAAAAAATTAATTCTGCAGGTGTTATCTCTTCGGAGGACAATGAGCCTCATGACAGAAATATTATTAAATGCCATATGCAAATAAATGTTCCTATTATTCTGAGTCATCATCTTGAACACTGCATTTGTGAAGTTTCATTGAAGGTTGAAACTGGTGTTCTCTCCTCTGCAGTTTTGTACTTTCTTTTCCTTTTTTTCCTCCTTGAAACAGGGTGTGTGCAGAGTAAGTGGTTGTTTTGAACATTAAAAGCACAAATTTGAGCCTTCAAGTGCATTTAGACCCTTCATTGCAAATGATATGTGCAGCTACATATTGTGTTTCAACTACCTTTCTTGATGTTCTCAAACATAACTCATTTTTTAATTACATTTGTTTGATTGCAGGCACCTGAGATTGCCAAATGTTCTGTGTGTGGAAGAAACTTGTGTAAGTTGTAGTGTTGCACGTACTGTGCTCTATATGTTCTCTATTTCCAATTGAAAGTCCAATTTGACTTTCTAAGATCAAGCAGGGCATTTTAATTTTTAAATTGAAATCATATATAAATGTTTAACTACTTGACGCAGATTAAAAAAAGCTTCTAATTGATGATACTTGTGTGAAATTTCAATTTCTAATTTTGTCGTCAAATAGAAAAAGAACGTTAAAAGCAAGTTAGGAAATGCTGGTTTAATGTATATTCAGGCATAACATTAAATATGCAGAGAAGAGATTAATTGATTTGATGACATATAAGGCTTCCTTTTGTTTGTCTACATTATTACCTTATATTTCTTTGTTGCAGCTTTTACTTAGAAATGCAAGGTTGGAGAGTTTGGAACTACAATGGATTAAGTCTTATATGCATGTAAGTTTAGTTCTTTTGTATATGTGCTGTACATCTTAGCTTTCAGGAAAAAGCAAAATTTACATGTAACAAAACTAAGAAGAGGAAAGATTAACCTGTAAGAAACTGTTTGACATAAGATTCAAGACATGCCATTGGCATCAGATCCTAATATATACTTTGACATACATTTATTTCTGGAATTCAAGTCAGAACTAAATGTGTGAAACATAATTGTTGTCTCAAGTGCTTGTGCATTTTCTGTTTGGCATCTGTAGTAATAATGAAATTTGCAAACGTTTCTTTGTTTTGAACAGTTATATCTTCTGGATTAGAACTTGTTATGCTGAAGAATTAACTATTTACACTGCTTTTCTTGTGGCTTTCAACCTTACAGGTCGAGGGGTTATGCAAACTCATCAGCCAGAACTATCGATCCCTTAAGTCAATTAAATTCATGCATTGCAAGTTTACAGTTTCTTCTCTTGATGCAATTTGTGACTTGCTATGCATGCACAATCCTCAAGCACTTGGGATGCAACATTTCTCAATCAAGACATCAAACTTCCTAGAGAACAACTTTCAATCCTCGCCAGCTGGACTGATATCTTTGCTATCATCAGGGAGGTATAGCGGATTTCGCTGCAGCTTCCATCAGCTTCTTTATTCAACTGTTCTATGCTTTATTCTCATAATGATTCCATAGACTTACATTCTGTGCGACATGGTAGATTCCATCTACTGTAACCCACTAAGTGATTCCATAGACTTACATTTGTGCATCGTGTTTCTGCTAGGTCCTTGTCTTCACTATGCTTATCAGACAACCATCTTCCTCGCCATTTTGCGAGGAAAGTATTTGATACCCTCGTTGATGCTTCATCTGGTATTACCGTTCTGGACCTTTCAGAAAACAATGTGAGTAACAATATTTGCTCTGCTTTTTCTATTATACTGATGTAATCATTAATCAACCTATAGAAAATTTCACACTGCAGATCGCGGGATGGCTTTCTCATTTTAAATATAAGAACAGAAGTAGCACAGATGGGACATATAATTCATTGAAGTCATTAAAGGAGCTTAATTTAAGGTATGCTTTGACTTTTCTATTCATGCCTCAAAGAAGTCTCTTCTCATACTGAACAGCCTTAGCATAAGCAGTTCCACAGTAAATTTGATCACAACCGACTTAATGAATCACGAAAGGCGTATTTGTATTGTCATCTTCACTGCAATACAAAGTTTACTTGGTTCTCCAACTTCAGGAACTGCAATCTACAGATGGACGATGTGGATTGTCTCAGATATGCTCTAGTCCACGTACCTAATCTGGAGCAACTCGATCTCAGTGACAATCCTATCGAGACTTCTGGAATCAGGTTTATTGAATTAAGCCATCAGTATTCAGTGACCAACTTGCCAAGGTCTCACAAGTGCGTTTTTCTTTCAGGTGTCTAATCCCCTACTTCAAAGAGACGTCCTATAAATATTTCCCCCTTGTCGAATTGAAGTTGGAAAGTTGTGAGCTTACATGCTTTGGAGTTTGTGAACTTCTAGAAGCTCTTTCATCTTTGAGAAAACCACTGAATTTTCTCTCGATCGGAGGCAACTCTCTTGGCAGGTTGGTAAAATGGATACAATTACAATATTATATTCAACTTCCGTAATTCTTCTCCTAGATAGATGATATTTTCTGAGGGAAAGCCACAAATGACCCGGAGAGTTTGTTTATCAGTTGGCCTTCACATGCTTTCTTTGTGCTTTAAGTTTGTAAGAGTTTCCACTTTATCAGCTAAACTTGGGAGACATTCTAAGCCTTGTTCTGGGTTAAATTGATCCCATGTTAAACTGCTTGGCTTATAAGGTGAATGCCGTCATGGAAAATTTGCTGCAAATCTAATCTTTACCTTTTGTCCCGGGAGTTGTATATCAGGCTTTTTCATTATTTGGTGCTTTGATAGTTTTCCTTTTGTTATGAAGTTAACTCTGTAATAGGATCACCAAAATCTGAGAGCCTCTTGCATTTGATTTCTTGCTGACTTTTTAGATCTCAGATCTCCTTTTAATCTTTGGTAAATTATATCTCGTTTGACACCGATCACACTGCAGAAGCTTATCTGTGCGATATATACCCTTTCTTACCCTCATTAGACACTTCCAAGCTTTCTTTCAAAATTTTGATGCTTCCAACCTTTTCCATGGGACAGCTTTTGATATAACTCATTTCCCAATTTTTTTTGTAGTGAAATAGGAACAGCACTAGGGAAGTTTCTATGCTGTGGTATTCAAGCTCTTGATATTGAAGACATTGGACTAGGTTCTACTGGCTTCATGAGAGCAGGCCAAGCGATAGTGAAGGAAACAAAGCTCCACTCAATCAACATAAGGTGAAATGGAGTTTTCATTGAAAACTTTAGCTTATGGATTTTGAACTGAGAGTAACATGTTCATTAAACTTATGCAGCAAAAATCGAGGTGGAATTGAAACTGCAAGATTTCTGTCAAAGCTTTTCTCTCATGCTCCAGATCTTTCAACAGTAAATGCAAAATACAACTTTATGCCCAAAGAATCTTTGTCAATCCTTTCCTCTGCTGTAAAAGCTGCAAAAGGTACAACATTCTAATGCTCAGTTTCTTCTCTCGTTTTGGTTTCTCTCTGTTGCATAAGTTTCTTCCTTTTGTCAGTTGCTAATAATGGGTCGATAAATTGTGACAAAGTCACAACCTTCTATTTAGCATGTGACATATCTCTTTTGCTGATTTTTTTGGTTTAAGTGAATGTAAAATTCTATCAGAAAATAGCAATAGAGATGAATGCAACCCATCTACAAGAGCCTGACAATGAATACAGAAAATATCAAGCATGTGAAATTGAAGAATGAAATCTTACTATTATATAAATTATCAAGATCTGTCTTTCTAAAAAAAGAATAAAAAAATATTAAGATCTATCGTTTTCCCAAGGAAAGATAAGTTACTCCATTATGGAGCTAGTGTTGCTAATGGAAATATTTTAGCCCTTTAAATAAAAAAAATAGACAGAAACGCTCAAGAAGAATAATTTTTCCTATTTAATATGCAACACAGGAAGCGTCAATATACACATGTTTGCGGTTTCACAGTTTGAATCATGCTGTGGAAAAACATTTGGTGTTTAAGTTCGGAGGAGGGTAGAGGAGCAGGCCTATACTCCCCTGGAGTTCTGAACCTGCTGTTTCCTTACGGAGTCCACTCAGGCTAACAAGGTTATGCCACGGGCTTTCTCCCATATGAAAAGATTCCCAATTTAGAGGTTCTTTTTGTTAGTTCACTATAATACACAAATATGCATGCCAAGCTGGACTTGGTGTGAAAAGAAGTTCAAACATTTGTAAGTTAATTTCAATTGTTAGCTTTAAAAAAATTGGCTGGAAGGGTAAAATTTAAATTTATGAATTCGAGTTCAAATATTAGTTACAATTAGTTAGTTGGCTGAAATTTTGGATGGAATTGAGATATGTATAAGAGCCTCAGTTTTAGTTTCACACAAGTTGGTGGGAATCGAATCACTTCTGCTCTCAACTTAGCTTTGCTGAGTTAACTTTTCCTTTTTTTTTTCCTTCTTTTAGCACTCTACTGCACTTTCACACACACACACACTTGATTTTATTATACTTTACTTGGGCCGTGGGTCTACCGTAGACAACCAGAGGCCTTCACAAGGTAGGGGTAAGACTATGTACACACCACACTCCCCAGACTCTACATGTGGGATTACACTGGGTATGTTGTACGTTTCTATAATTTTTTGAGAAACTAGAAACGAAATGTGAGTTGAGTAAATGCATGTTAAAAGCTTTCTGCGCCTTCTGTGTCATTTAATTGTGGGATTCATTGACCTTTTTCTTTGCTATTGATTAGGTAAACTGGAGCATTTGGATTTGAGGGGAAATATCATATGTGGACAACAAGTTCATTTATCTGAGTTGGCTGAGTTTCAAACCAATGGATTTTCTATTTTGGAACTCTCTTCTTCACCAGCTTTAAATGAACCTTATGATGATGATCCTTAATTGCTTCATGAGGTTTCTGATGTTGTTGTCAATCATGTTTGGTAATTAAGTGGAGAAAGACGGACGGGAACAGTACCATTGTGATCTCCTTCTCTGGCGCTTGCTTGTATGAAGGTTTAAGGCCTTTCTCAAAAGATTTGGTCCAACAATAGTTTCATATAAAGATGTGATTTGCCTCTCCAAGTTCATTCCCCCACCCCCAGAAACAGTTGAGCTGGTTGTACTTAAGCTCCAAGGTTTTTACCCCAACAAATCAAATTATATCTGGGAAAAGGTGTTCTATTACAAGTATCTCCATCTGTAATTTTTTTTCCAGATTTTCAAAGTCTCTGATGGAGGGACGAGTTGTTGTCACCGAAGTTTGAAGTTGAATACTAGAAAATATTCCATCTCAATTTGTGCAAGCCTATTTTCTTATTAGTTCGTCCAAAAGGAATTACATCTTTCGTTAGGTTACAAAGTTTTAAAAACCTTTTATTCTAAATTTTGTGTATAGTCCAACACAATTACATAAATTTGGATGGAAATGAAGGAGTAATCATCATTATGAGCTGTGCTATTTTCGTAAGTTCTAATTACATAAATTGTGTAAGCAAATTGTATTTATATCTTAATTTGACATAAACATCTCATGCGGATATATATTAACTTCTTTGGGCATTATAAAAAAAATATTTTATTCTCTTTCATTGATGTTATCATAAATATTTATTTAATATAATGTCAAAAATAATACTAGAAAGTACGTTATTTTTTTGATTGAAAAAAGAAAGAAATTTATAAGAAGACAATGCATGATACATGAATTAAATTATGTTGTAAGTTCAATTCGTATGATACATAACACTTGATTAGTAGGTCGATTACTTTTGAATTTTAAACCATATCAACTTACTCTCCAAAAAAATTTTAATTATAAAAAGAAATAAAGAAAAAAGAAGTCTAGTGGGTCGGGTTGTATTATACGAGTCTGAGTATGAACTGAAGTTAGGACCCGATCCGACCCGACCCGACTTTTAGAACTCTGAAATCTGGAGTTAATAGAGTTAACTGTAAATGCAGGCCTCTGCAGACTCGCTTCCATCTGTTCTTCAGTCAGAGTTTCAATCTGTAAGTCTTCGATTTTTCTCCTTTCAATTCGTTCTTTTTCAATCTGAGAGTTTATCATTTACAGATCTCCATTATTGGTTAGTTCTTTTGCTTCCTTCATCAACAGTCAACACAAGAGGATCTGTATTTCGTCGCACTTTTTTTTGCATTTTCTTGGTAATCTAAGCTATTTATTTTAATCTTCAATTTATCACTTGATTTTTCTCTCTCTCTATTGCATCGGTAGTTGCTTGGTATGTAAGTCATAGTGATTTGTGAAATGGAATTACTGATTGATGGATGATTCCAGCAAATAGGCCGTCTATGTTGTACCTAGGTCGCATGAGCTTTTTTCATGATGAACTGAAATTATTTAATCCGAAAATGTCTTCTATTTTTTTTTAAACAACAAAAGAGTTGCAAAAGGTATGTGTAACCTGAGGAATTCTCCTACTTTTGCTGATGGAAATTCAATTAAGTGATGAATTAGCTCTTATCAGGCAGAAAAATTAGATAACGTAATTAATTGTAAGAAGATAAATTTGCATGGTAATCTGGGATCTGTAGAAACTAGATATGCTATAAAGTACGATCTGATTTAAACAAAGTGATGGAGTCGTTTTCATTATTGGACTGCTAAATCCTTGATTTCCTTCCTCCGAATATCTTTGTATTGAGGTAATGCTCTTATTGGGGTGTCCTGGGGGTAGTAATGATAAAATCAGCTAAACAATGTTGGGTGGGAAAAGTGAAGTTTCTGAATTCAGCTGGATAATTATCTTTGATATGTAATAGCTTATACCAAGAAAGATATATGTTGAGTTACTAACAGTTGTGTTGATTAAAGAAAAATCCTCCTGCAGAAATGTATGATAACCTGGGAGCACAATCCGGGGTGCCAAGACCGCCTGTTAATACACAGGCAAATCCTTTTGGAAATGCCTTCTCTGGTGGTAGCTCAGGGTTCATCAGAAGTGGACTAGGGGCTTATGGAGAAAAAATCCTTGGTTCCAGTTCTGAATATGTTCAAAGCAATGTAAGTTGCTGCATCCGCTGGTCTTATCTCTACATTGTGCGACTTGCCAAAATAATTTTTTTCCATTAATCATTCCTGAAGTTTTTTGTTCGTGAAAGTGCTTTATGACATAATCAGCAAGGAAATAGTATTCCTTTTCTTTTTTTTTGGCATTATAGCTTGTTAATTCTCTTACTACTTGAAAATCAATAAATTTCAAATAGCATTTACGATGCTGTCTTCACTTTGGTGACATCATCAAGCTGACATTGATACATAATAGCAAATTGAGCTATAAGTGATTAATCACTTAATCATAATTGAAGCTAGGTGAAGTTATTTACATTCTCCTATTGTTTATCAAGTTCTTCATTTTTACAACTTACAAATTTGTTCTCATTATGTACTTTTCCTTACTCCTTGCTGCAATGGTAGCACCCCATGTCCTAATGGTCATCTCTCCACTGCACAGTAAACTCAAAAGATTAACAAGGACAGGATTTTATATTCTTTTTTGAGAGGAGAAGGAAAACCATTTCATATTTAGGTATTTAAATGTTCATTTTTAGTGGTAAAAGTAGAGGATTCTGTTGGAAGATTGAGTCAGATGGACAGAATATTGTGGAGAAGCATAGGATGGCTAATGCCAAGCTCCATCTACTCCAAATAACATGGAAAGGGAGGGCAAAAGTAGAAGAAAGAAAAATATGATTTAGAGCAGGTATTTTTTGTGACGTGTTCTGATTCTCTGTTAACTTGAGTTTCTTAACCTATTTCCTCAAGGGTGTTAGCTGCAGTTATGCAGAAAGTAACTGTAAGTTGAATTACGAACTCTCATGTTGGCTGAGCTTGGAAGGAGATGGTGAGTAGAGATGGGGCATGGGATGGCTCAGTGTGATGCACAGTAGGAGCAAGACTTGGGAGAAAGCTAGAAAGGAATTATATTAGTGGTTTTGATGCAATATGGTTCAAGTCTAGCTAAGCTAATTTAATTGGAGTGGGAATGACCAATCTCCAAATCATAATTCTTGGAAGTTGGTTCATTAGCAAGTTTGAGGGGAAAGCTAGCACGCAGGCATTGAATGTTCGTTGGTGACTACACAAAAGATAGGCTCTTTTAGTTTATCTTTGGTTCCTCGTATGGAATCTGATGTGCAAGTTATATTGTTTTCCAGAGGCAAAAGCCTTGCCCTGATGTGTTAATTGTGTTAAAGCCTTCCACAAAAAATGAAGAAATTGAATTTAGCCCTTGTTATTTATAAATCACATTTAGCGATTCATACTGAGCCATAGGATTACGGTTACATACTTGTCAAAAAATCATGGTTTCGTGAAGTCTATGAGGATTGCCTACTGGGTCGAGCTCGTGGCACCGGGCTTGCCTAGTGCGGGTTACCTCTCCGGTGTGGTTTGCAAGCTATTGCATAGGAGCAGGGGTTTTGCTCTGTGTACACCAAAAGGGTAGCGGCTGCGGGTTTACCTTGTCATCCAAAAAAATTAAAATAAAAAAACAAAGGATTATGCCATAGGTAGCCAGAAAAATCCCCCTTTAAACAAAATTAAGCCAGATTGCATTCCCCCTCCTCTTTGATATGCTGTAGCATTTACCTCTTTGTTAGAGTTCCCTAAATGTGCTCTGAAGCTGTTCATAATTTAACATTTTTGTCCAAATCATTTTTCCATTCTGTCTTTGGATACTTTATTGCTGAATGATATTGATAAAGTGGTCTAGATTTTCTGATGGAAATATAATTCTAGTTGACAACTTTTTGATTGAACAGATAAGTAGGTATTTTTCCGATCCCCAGTACTATTTCCAAGTGAATGACCAGTACGTGAGAAACAAATTGAAAGTTGTGCTTTTCCCATTCCTACACAGAGTAAGCTCATGAAACCCTTGATCTCTCTGATTGTCACATTACGATCTCAATTTTCTTTTTTTATTGTTACGATGTTGCCTTTTCATTTGTCTGTAGGGTCATTGGACAAGAATCACAGAGCCGGTAGGTGGTAGGCTATCCTATAAGCCCCCTATCTTTGATATAAATGCTCCAGATTTGTACATCCCATTCATGGCATTTGGTACCTACGTTGTTCTTGCCGGTTTATCATTGGGTCTCCAGGGAAGGTAAGCAGTGTTTTCTCAAGCTTTCTTAACTCTGGTTTCTTGGTGCTCAATAATGAGAAGTTCTTTGATTCTGTGCTGTCAAATTTCATTGCTTACCTCATATTTGGTTAAAGTGCCAACAAATGTACAGATTCTCATACTGAAGACTAAACTGTTGCTTAAACTGAAAATATTAGCATTATTAGTATAATTACTTATTTCATGTAACTGTCTTCTAAATGAGAATCCCCACCTCTTCCCATTTGTCTCTTCCTCTTAAATTTAGATGTCCTAGGTTGGCTATGCATGGCTTTCGAGATTCCATTTAAATTTTGTTATATTTTAAACAAATTTGGATTCAAAAGTGAACACAAGGTTAATTTCTAAGAGTTTGAACATCGGAGTGAAATCTTGTAGTAGTGGTGGGATATAGTTGGTAACATACCACAACTTCTAGGCATGCCTCCATTTCTCTTCCCTTTTTTCCATGCTTGTGACAACCCCCTCGGGATCCACATATTCAGGTATTGTCTCTGCCATGGGCGGCCATTCGCTCTTTTAATCCCCTCTTATTGGCATGCAGCCTCAAGGGAGAATCGAACCCGTGACCTATGGCTCCTTTACATCCCTCCCAATTGGTGAAAGGCGATCTCCTTGGGAGGGATGTAAAGGAG